GGGCAGATAAAAACATACAGTCTGTGGCGATCTCAGCCTCGTAGACAATCAGACTAATTGTACCTTTTACTTCTCCGGTTCGGCCTCTGTTGTTAGCTTGTGATGTCGAGAGGAGAGAACAAGCGAAGTTGATGTCCTTCTCTTGTTTGTTGTGTCGCTTGTTGCATGGTTATGTTGTTTTTGAATTACGTTTCTCTGACCCCTTTAGCCATCGTTTCCTGGGCCTACCTTTTCCTCTGTTTTCTTCTGATCTCTGAAAAATAGACAATGGACTCCCCAAAAATGTGATCTCTTTGTAAAAAAAGGTGTGAAGGCACCCCGACCCTCATCCCCCCCAACCCTCAACGCCCCCCACCCTCAGCCCACACACTTTGTAGCCACCTCTCTCTCAATGGGGCACATAATATATGTAACAAGTTTTAAAAAAAAATCTGTTCTGTCCATGAATGAATTCTTTGTAGGGACAAAAAGTATGTTCGATTTTTTTAGGAATTCGTGGGGCGAGTATGTGCAACTTTACATTGTTGAGTGTTTTTGTAGTTTAAACACATTTTTGTTAGTTGTTTTTGGTTGTATCATGGTGATCGGTGGTTGGCATTGCTGCTAAAGTAGATTTTTATTTCTTTCGATCCTTTTGTTATGCCGTTTCTGTCTGACCTAATTTTTTTCAGCACTAAATGCAAGGCCTATATTATGTCCATGTGCGTATATCTGTAAACTAGTCTAGTCTAAACTAAACAAACATGTCTTAAAACCCCAAAGCAACTGCATAATAGACTCCAGTGTACAGAATATGTCCCGATTTTATAAAGTTTTGTAAAGTTTTACGGCATTTCATGTAAGTACCGGAGAAAAAAGGTGTTAGTAGAGACTATTATTATACAAAGCAAAAGAGGAGGAGAGATAAGGACGACTGATGTTTGATAGAATAGAGGGAGCAAACCACACCTGATATATATACGTCCCTTTGTCATGATGGTTTTTTCTTTTGCTGTATAGACAACTTAATTAATGCCTCCCTCCTCTCTCTCTCTCTCTCTCTCTCTCTCTCTCTCTCTCTTTCATTACTCTCTTTCTCTCTACTTCTCAGCATGTTCTTTCTCTCTCTCTCTCTTCCTCTCTCTCTCTTTCTCTCTCTCTCTCTCTCTCTCTCTCTCTCAAATACACACACCCCCTCTCAAAGCGAGAGAGAGAGAGAGGTAGATAGATAGAGAGAGAGACAGAGAGAGAGAAAGATAGAGAGAGACAGAGAGCGGTGTCAATATCGCCAGAGACCGAGAGACAAAGAGGCTGACAAAGGTGTTAATATCGCCAGAGACTGAAAGGGAGAGAGAGACAGATAGATGGACAGAGACACAG